GTTCATCAGCCGAGGATGCACGTATTTTCAGCGATTCCGCTGCTTCACCGCTGAAAACACGTTTTAAATCTGACACAGAAGAGGATAAAACCACAATACAAGAATTCACTGATATCAGGAGTATAACTGGTAAATCACCTGAGCTTGGAACCATAGAAAGCCACGGCAAAGAAGTGTGCTATARTGCTAATATCAAGGAAAAAGGGTTCGCTATAGAAAAAGCCATGGCAGAGTTTAAGGAACATGCTCAAACCCAACGAATCTYCCTCTCAAAGGAATTTACGGGCACCTTACACAATTTTGCTATAATATCACCACCGTACTCGTTTTCAGAAGAGTTCACGAGGGAACTAGAAAGTAAGTGCTTCTCCAGAAGGAATGAACAACACACAACCGGAATTATATATCAAGCTCAGCATGGTTCGACTGTGGTATCCCCACGAAGTTCTCTCTTAGAAGAGCTCTCAAGCAAGTGCTTTTCTCGAAGGAATGAAGAACGCACAACTGGAATTATATATCAAGCTCAAACCCAACATGATTTGGCTGTGATATCCCCACGAACCTCTCTCTCAGACGAACTCACAAAGGAACTGGAATTTAGCAATGCTAGGAGTAAACTTTTAACAAAAATAAGTAGTAATCGAACTACCGAAAATAAATATCAAGCTGAAGATTTGGCTGTGATATCCCCGCAAAGCTGCCTCTCAGAGGAGCTCAGGAAGGAAATGGAGCGACGCATCTCAAGTCAAACCCAAGAGAAAGAAATGAAGTCACAGCAACTCACAAAGAAACTGGAACTTCACATTGCTAAAAATAAGCTCTTGACAGGAGTAAGTAGAAAACGCGACATAGGCATTAAATCTCAAGCGGCAGATTCGGTTGTAATATCTCCGCGAAGCTCACTCTCAGAGGAACTCACCAAGAAAATGGAGTTACGCATCGCAAAGCGAGCCCTAAAGAAAGAAATGAAGGCAGCTTCAATAAAACCGAACATTAATCAACCCAACAACATACACCAGGACCGATATTCGCCTTACGAAACAGCTAAACAAATRAGAAGGAAAAGCTCCAATGTGTCGTTACCGACTACATCTGAAGGTGAAAGTTTTGACCAAAAAGTACGTCGATCTCTAAGGTCACTTTTCTTATCTCAGATACAGAGAGAACAAGCTAATCTCATTGCAATTGTTAYGTYRGAACTAAAAGAATGTCTAGCCAAACGAAATGTGGAAAATAAAGACAACCCGCTCTACTCAATCCAACCAAAACTAATGTACCGAAACCAAGCTGCAGCCCGTTGTTCAGAACCGGTTAAATTAAGAATGCAAGCTCGAAATGTATAGATTATAGATATACAAAATTATCCTTAAGAGTATTTATAGATGGTTATAATTATTCGATGTAGTAAAATAAAATTTGTATATAAAATAAAATATGTGTTTTAAAAAAAGATAATTTTTGTTCATATGTATTTAAAAAGTTGCTCTTGATTTTCAGAAATAATTTCGTCTAATTTCATTTGCATCTTTCAGTGCAGACATTACAGTAATGTTATCGGTAAATACACACAGATCTTCGAGATATTTACAAGGTCTTATTAATCTTATTTACGTCGCTAGTATATGTAGCTACGTGGTCTGCATAGGTTTTACTTAGTTCAGGTTCAATCCTTTGAGGTTCAGTTACACTAAAAGATGGAGGATGGCGCGGAAGCTTGCGTCACACCAGCGGAACTTACAACATTTATCTACTCTTATAAATTTACATAAATGCAGAAAATCTTTTCGAGATGAATCAAAATTCAACTTAAAGGTGTCCGATGGAGGGGTAAAAATATGGAGGGAGGAAAATACTTCATTTAAACGTGGTGTATCACCTGTAATGGATTGGTAATGTTTCAGTGCTTCGGGAGTACGGATACAAGGCTTTGGATATAGTTATATAATATCTATATTTCCAAAATACCTGAAAATGCCACTTAGAAGCGCAGACATAAACTTAACTTTCTGTCTTGAAAAATTTAATAATAAATTATAGTATTAAAAATCTTCAGGACCTTAAAAGAACTTTATTTAAAAAATGGGGAAAAATATGTCCAACACCCACCATAAGATTGATGAAATTGATGTCACGTCGATAGTAACATTAATTGTACTTTCAATATTTTACGAATATAAATTTTGCTTTAAAATACGAAATTTTTTAAGAAAAATAAATTTATTTAATGAAATTCAATATAAAAGTATATACGTTTATACTTAAATGGCATACACTTTTTTTGTAACTAATTGATAATATTTTTTATGTGCAAAATTTATATAAAATATGTTGTGTGCGAATATGGATTTTGCACAGTCTGGAGGAAATTAAGGCAATAATCTCATATCGCATTTCGTCAGATAATGGGTTAGAAGCAAAGATTCAGTAAATGTAGCGGCTGCATATATGCTGGGTTCTTGGATTGGGCGGGAATTGAAACAGCTGATGAGACTGCTAAAAGCACGAACAAGTACAGGAAATGCTGATATCATTACGGAAGGGCTGACAGGCAGATCAATGGAATGAATTATGCGTGAATTAGGTACATGCAGAATCGCCAATATCATTCACCAGCACATACACGAATACATACTACACAGAAAATACTTATAAATTCAATCCGTTTTACCGGTTTATTCACAAATATTTTTATATGTCTATTATCGACCAATTTTTAACACAAGCACTGTTATTCCATTGTAATAATTTTCATTTAAATGCAAAAATCATATGAGAGCATACAGCAAAAATTATGGAAGTCATTTATTTTCTCAGTTCTCGGCTACGTTAGTTCCTCTAGCATTTATTATTAGAGGCCTGGATATAAAAAGAGAAAATGAGAAATTAATAGAGATTACCTTACGGAATAACGTACTGGTATTTAAACTCCAAATATTAAATATCGAAATATTTTCTGAAGAAGTCATCTTAACAAGAAATAATTGCGCTTGTACAACACAGGCAGGTAAGCGACATGTATTCTAGCTGCTATTATCCCTTGTATGCTCGGTGATATTTGTGTTTCACGCCCAACCTTAACTAACGATTTCTAAACGAAGATTGTAACCTTGTAAGTGACCTGCGTAAAGTAAAAAAAAGGCGCGCAATAAAGAAAAATGTTAAACAGTTCAACCTGCAGATCTCTCTGGTTCACAACTCTCGGGCAGTAGCGCAAACTCATAATAAATCATTAGCATCTTAAACAAAAATTACGAAAAATGGGTGTTCAACAATCGAAAAAATGTAATTACGAATCTAATTCATACCATTCCGGACGTTATATCAATGAAGACGGAAAGGTGACTAAACGACAGTCTAATTTCAGGAGAAAATATAAACCAGTATCTGCTTCACCCGCCGGAGCCGCTGCGGCTGCACGTATTTTGAGTCGTTACTCTGGTTCACCGCTGAAAAAACGCCTAAAATCTGCCACGATCACAGGAGAATATAAGAACACAAAACAGGATTTCTCTGATATGGAAACCATGTTAAATGATTTCAAGAAGACAACTGGTACATCACTTGAGTTACGAACCACAGAAAACGTCGGGAAAGAAGTCAACTTTTCAAATATCAAAGATCGTTCTACCAAAAAACCCTATCGCCGCAGATCTTATCAAGAATTCCGTTGAAGCAAGTGATCATCATGAAAAGAATTATGGTCGAGCAAAAACAGCGCTTGGCTCAAATGTGCAATTAATCGGAAAAAAGTACCACCCCGCAGCAGCAGCTACCAAAGAAAGACACAATAAATTATAATTTTAAAATTCGTCATAGTGTTAATAATACATAACGGTTTTCTGCAGATTATTTGTTTATATCTAGTTTCGCTCATACCTTTGTGAATTAAAACTCGTACACTGTGCAAATTAAGATTATCTTAAGGTATTATTGTATAAAAGTTTGAAAAAAAATTGAAACATTTTCGATAGTTCATATATTTTAATCAAGAAACACTGTATAGTTGGTTACACGGAAGTTGTAAGCCCTGCACAAAGAAAAAGTTTTCTTACTAGAACTTGATATGATTATTTTAGCTTGTATGGCATTGATTTGATGTGACATGCTGCCATGCCATGATACAGAGTTGAGAACTAGTGCGCTCGTGGTTAGCTAGGCTAAGTGCGAAATCTTTAAACTCGTTTTTCTTGAGACTATATTTTTGAAGTCGTTTGGAAAAAGTTCTCGACACTACCCAAACGGCCTTCATGATATTTATAGAATTATATATCTATGAGATATAATTCTTAAAAACTTGGACGTAGGATCTTTTTTCGATTACAACTATTTGGAGAAAAATATCGCCAAAAGTCCAATTTTCAGTTTTTTCCTTAGTCCAAGTTAATTTGTTATTAATTTGTGTTATGTGAAGGCAAAAACTAAAACAAGTATGTTTTAGAATATTCTGGAGGAGTTATTCTGTCAAGGCGCATTTTTACGAAGGGTCACCGGAGTCGACCTTATGCAATTTCCTGTTCTTTTTATTGAATTTCAGAGTCTTCCCCTAGTCAAGTAAAGTTACATAGAAAAGTATCAGCAACTCCGGAAAATCGATTATCTACTGCTTTGCACTTTCTCTTCTGTAATTTTTCATTACCCTTCTGCTTTTGTTGTTTATTAAATGCAAAATGCGTGTCAGTGCAACAGCGTATGTCACCAGTGCAGATTACGTAAATACATCAGTATTCACAGTTCATTGAAATTAAACTCGTAATATGCTATAATTGTTGTCGGTATTATTGTGCAACTTGCATCGGATGCCTCGAAGTGCAGTTTAAAATTAAATGCAGTGAAGGTCGTTGCAGCCACTTTACAATTACATCCCTTTTAAATTGACAATGCCTTCGAATGCTGCAAGCGTCTATAGACCCTTTATTTCAGTACTATTGTTTTAAAAAATAATACAATTCCAATAATTTGCTCCTTTGATAAAATCAATTTCTCGTTTTTTCTCGTTACAGGTTATGCTGTGAATATGCGCCCGCGGCAAAACTCCGTGTTCGTTGGCTCCAGCCCCAGTCAGTTTATGATGCCACGACCGCCGCGTAAAACACGCTCCGCCATGGACTTGCATTCGATGGTGCTGGATGAAGCGGCGGAGCAGGTTTAAATACATTTCCATGTTTACTATGAAGCACACCAACGCTTAAGATCAACTCCAAAATTTCTTATGTAAAACATATGAATGCTTTTGCTCACTATCACTATCAACTATTTGTAGAAAGTCAATAGAAAATTTACTCCAATGTAATTAATTGTTTGCTCTCGCACTTGTTATTTGCTACAAGTCACTACTATTTACCAAAACAATACTATATACATATATATCTTTTAAACAGTATACATATATATATATACTTACGAACATATTTTTATGCTTAAAAATTCTTCCTACTATTATAAAATAATATTATATCAGTTGCGTTCTTATTATACTCGAATATCTATGTACACGGAATTCACGTTTCTATGACAATAGTACATATATCCAGTATATTACATAAGTAATTGAGTGTTTTATACATTTTATAAATATGTATATGTTATATGTATATAAATACTAGCTATGAACACTTCACTAAAAATCGAACGGAAGATACATTGGCTTCGAGTCGTTATATTTTTATATACACTATCCTTGATATTATAATCCAAAGTTGCCGTTGTTCAATTCTTTCAATATCTTCGGCGTAAAAAAATATGAAAAGAACCGAATTCGAAAGCAAATCTACTTGGTCACATATCCTTGGCTATCGTTGCTTTGCAATCTCTACCAGTTTGGTATTTTAATTATTTGCTTTTGAGAAAACATTATATTATATTCATATCCACTATTGTGCTGGATTTAAGAAATATTTCTGTTAATATCTTCACAATATTAATAAGTATTGCAATATATTATAGAAGGATAAAGGAGAGAATTGTCGATTCAACTAACTCCAGAATCTTCCAATTTCTCTAATTATACCAGATCAAGTGATCTATTGGCGTCGAAGTTTAGTGTGATCGCTTGTTTTTAAGCTTCTTCCAACGAAGCTCAGGCATTTTCTGAAGGGAGGGACTTCTCCAAACACTGTTCTCAACAGAGAATAACGGCTCCGGTGACCAATACAATCAATGGTTGGTTAGGTTAGGTTAATCTGATGGGTTTCTCAGTGTTGATCACGTTCGGGTGTTAGCCGTATACCATTTCTGGCAATGTCATTCATTATTTCCTGAACTCGATGCCTATGTGGTCTGGCACCCAGTAGAAGTGAATTTGCTTGCTTCTGGTAATACTTTCAATGCTGCCCTGCTTCCCAAGATACTCCTGGCCGATATGCGATACGAAGTTACTGCCTTAATTACTGATCGGCTGTCTGCGTATATGTATATTGACTCTGGAATTACCTGAAGGTGCTAGTTCCGCGGCTTTTGCAATAGCAAAGACCTCAGCTTGAAATGTAATGTAGTGGTGCTGCAGCTTAAAAGGATGTGTTATGCCTAACTCTGTACAGTATATTCGCGCACCAACTCCCTCGTTCATTGTCTAGCCATCCGTACAGATGTCTAAAGCGTTGCGTTCCAGTCACCTTTTTCTGTTTTTACTTTGAACCTTCTTTTCCAGTTGAAAAGTGGGATCATGTAAGTGGGTGTTTGCCGAATTCCCATTACCCATCGAGCTATGTCCGAAGGTTCTATGTGTAAATTCTCTTGCAGCCAGTAATCGTCCTGCTGATTTTGTTGCGCAGTTTTCAGCATAGAGGTCTTTAGGTGACAGGTTTAGCACCAGTTCAAGAACCACCGTTGGAGTTCTTAAAGCTCCCATTGGCTTCCGGTAGATATATTTCCGTACACCTGTTCACCACACTACTGCACCGTAGCACGGAATTGATCTTACAATAGCTGTATAGCACCAGTGGATGAGAGAGACAGAGAGCCGCCAGGTTGTACCGAGCATTTGCTTACACCCATATAAATCACTTCTAGCTTCTCCCACTCTTTCTTTCACGTTGCTCTTCCACAGGATATTGCTGTCCAAGACTACCCCAAGGTACTTGGTGCAGTCGTTGAGAGAGAGCTGTTTGCCATTTATCGAAGAAAAAATCCATAGAGGAATTTTGTGCTTTCCTGTGAACACAAGCAGATCCATTTTAATCCCAGAACTATTTGTGATGCTCAATTCTTGACTGTATCCAGAGTGGTGTTAATGGTCTATGGACATCTATCCGTTATTAGGATAGCAATGTCGTCCGCAAATGCCACTATCTTAGGGGCTTTGTCGACCAAGTTCTTAGCAGTTGATTCACCACTAATGTCCATAGAAGCAGATATAGCACTCCACCTTGCGGGGTATCTCTACAGACTTGGTAATTCTAGCGTTTCGTTCAGCTCTTATCCGTCTACAAGTCCAAAGGCGCGGAGATAGCACTCTAGTTTGCAGGGTACCTCTACAGACTTCTCGTGTTTTCTAGCTTCAGTTTCATCTTGTACGAAAAATTTTTATAAATTATTTTGACCACAAATGGTTTTCCGAGCAAATGTTTCACATCGGACCACTATAATATACGAGTATAACAGCCAAGCAAACTGGGAGATCAAAATCAGAACAAAACATTAACATTTCAACTTTGGCGCAATCGAAACAATAGCTCTTTATTTTGGTGGTATAATCAAACTCTGGATTTAACAATCGAGCGACTCAGTGTATATTCAGATTATTGTGTATATTAAAATATTTGTAATAACAATTGCAATGTAAATAATCCTTTGCAGAAAACTACTAATTAGTAAATAATTCAGTAAATTACGCGTAAGACGTTCCTTAAGAGAAGCGTACATACATACGTATACAAAACGCAATAAAATGTATTTTCGTAATAATTTAATTAAGAAACTTCAAAGAAATGAAAAGCTTTAATACAAACCAATAAAAGTACTGGCAAACGAGTAAATTAGCGAAGATTTGTGGTGGTAGTTGCGTAGAATTAAATAAAAAGGGAAATATCAAGCAACATAAGCAAGGGTTACAACAAAAACAAATATACTTAATAGATCTAAGTAAAAAAAATAAAAAAACAAAAACAAAAAATAATAACTATTGAAATTCAAAAATAAACTATTTAACAGAAAAAGCTATATATTTCTTAATTTTTGTGTTATTTTACACAAACAATTCAAATAAATACTACTTAAACTAAGAAAGGCATATACATAAAAACTTATGTATTTTTTACAATATTTGTACACATGTAAACAATTATATAAAAATATATATGTATGTGTATAGCAAAGCGTTTGGTCGTTGAATTTTTCTACTTGCAGTTTTGTTAATTGAAAAGTTTCAAAAGTAGTTTGTTATATAAAGTTTATAATATGCGAAGCGTAGATTTATATAAGCACTTATAAAAATAAATAAAAACAAATTAAAATAACAAAGTGGCCAATTACTACGATAAGTGCTATGTAGTGGAGTTATTATAGTAGCAAAAAAAAAAAGCATAGAAAACTCAAACTTTTAATTTTTCAACTAATGACTATTGTATTCTATTTCTATTAAACAAAAAAAACTTTATAAAAGTTTTGGTTTCACACACTGAAACCAAAACAACAGCAATGGCAAAAAAGCTTTATGAAAATGTATGAAAACTAAGAAAAAAGCGCAACGTCGGAGGAAGACTTCGAAGTTGTCATCAGGCAATGAAGTTAGCATAGTTGGCATATTATGTAATAAGAAATAACAACATATGTATGTATATAACTATTTCACCATAAAATTTTTAATCAAATTGTAGCATAAGCCATCAAGATTTATAAAGTTCAAAAACAAATACAAATATATTTCAACATTTTCAGTTTATTGAAGTAGATCAAGAACAAATATGAGCACCGGTCGACAAGATTTTTGGTTAAACTTCACTTTGGTTTCTGTTGCTTTATATTCAATAGGAAATAGGAGATTTTCGACTGCTATTCGATAGTCGAAAAAATCGTTTCGTATTTTGTCGTATACGAGGTGTGTTCAAAAAGTATCGCGAATTTTGTGTTTTTTCTAAAATTATTTCTTTATTCATGAATATATATTTTGTTCCCTTCAAAGTAATCCCCATGAGATATTATACACTTGTGCCAACGGTTTTTCCCATCTTCAAAGCACTTCAAAAAAACATTTTTTTTTATCTTCTTCAGCTCTTCCTTTGATGCCGTCTTTATCTCGTCAAAAGAAGCGTAACGTCGTCCTTTCATGGGCCTCTTCACTTTAGGGAAAAAGAAAAAGTCACAGGGGGCCAGATCTGGGGAATACGGTGGCTGCGGCATCATTATTGTGCTGTTTTTGGCCAAAAAATCGCGCACAAGCAACAATGTGTGAGCAGGGGCATTATGGTGGTGCAAAAACCAATTTTTGTTCTTCCAGAAGTCCGGGCGTTTCTGTCGGATTGCTTCGCGCAAATTGCGCATAACTTGCAGGTAGTATTCCTTATTGACCGTTCTTCCCTGTGGAAAGAACTCATGATGCACCACGCCCCAGCAATCGAAGAAAACTGTAAGCAAAACTTTCGCGATACTTTTTGAACACACCTCGTATCTCCAGTGTTACCAATTAAATTTGGTAAAGTTGAAAAACGCTACAGCTGTTCAAAAATGTGTAAAAATAATAAAGAACTTCGGCATATTTTAAAATTTTTGTATAAAAGAGGGAAAAATGCCACGGCGAACAAAATTTCTGAAGTTTACGGAGACGATGCTGGATCAGTTCGTGTAGCACAATAATGGTTCGCTCGCTTTTGTTATGGAAATTTTGTTCTTAAAGCTCGCTCTGGTCGACCTATCATTGGTCTCTAGCGGAAAAATGGCAAAAAGTGGACGACCAAAATGGTAGATATTTGGTTCAATAAATCATTGTAAATATAAAACAACTATGGTGAAGTTTGATCAGAAATACGAAAAGACTTTTTCGACTGTCCTATTAATATGAATAGCTTTTGATAATTTACTTTATAAGAATCATTTTAATACCAATAGGGGAACCAAAAATTCTTTGGGATTTTGTAGAAGCTGGAGTAATGTGAAGAATATTACGGAAATTTTAATAAATTTATATTTCACTTTGCACTTTCAATTCAGGAAACCTCAGTTAAACCTTAATAATGCTATAGTTGAAAAGAGCTTGGTAGTTTTGGTCGTTCCAGGTCCTTGGAAATTAGCCAAAACCTTTAACCTTTTTTGCCGATATAAGACTGCAGCATGCGCAGATCATGGCGGTTTATAAAGGTCAAAGGCACATTCTCCATGCAATTGTATTATTTTTGCGCTATTGTCGACTATATCACTATAAGAGTATAAAATATTTAAAATATATTTGGCCAATAATTGTTTATATTGAGAAATTTTTTCAGAGGAATTATACAGAAAATTCTTCTCCAATGGTATCTTATAGGGTATCGAATTCGTCGAACAAATTATGTGACGCTTTTACAATACCAATATACATTTTTTAACGTAAAAAGCTCATAGCAACTTTCGGCTTTCCTACCATTTTCTAGAAATTTTTTTAGATAACTTTTGTCCTAGAATTGCTTAATAGTTTTTTGTTTTAAATTATATTCCTATCATATAACTATAAAAAATACACGTATAGTTCCAAAAAACTTTTAAAATATTTATATTTTTGAGCAAGAAATATGTAATTAACAGTGTTTCTAATATAAATTATTATTTATAAGAAACAAATATCATTATAAAAAAGTTGAGACTATAATAAAAAATATGT